CAATGGCAGACATGCAATTAAATATAACGAGAAAGAGAGAACAACTTTTGAAGTATACATAGAATCATTAATAGCCACTGTGTACTTATTACAAAATAAAGATTCGGGTAGTGATGTCTATATTTAATGTATGATGTAGTATCAATTTTAATATTAGAATTTTACTATATATATATATATATATATTCTTTTCTATAATGTTAATCATCATCAACAACAATAGACAGAAGACTTCAAATGACACGATCGTTTGTTAGTGCATTCTCTATGTTTTACTTCTTTCGCTTTTGCTCTCCCTCGTTCCCTTCCAACCTTTTCTCTTCCGTACTACATCCCACATCTTCATCATGATACATACATGGCCATTTGTACTCGTGCGCTTGCTCGTCAAAATGAATTGCGCGCGCGCGCGCGCGCACACACAGGCGATAACAGAGCGAGCAAGCAAACGGACGCTTTTCTCTTCTTTTTTGCCTATCGTGTATGTATGCGCACGCACACATTGCTTTTTTTTTCTTATTCTCTTCGACGACAAATGCATAAAGGATATAGTATTTCAAGCTTGTAGTTGCTGTCGTCGTCGGTTTACTTCTATCTATTATTCATTTGCGAACGAGAGAAGAAAAGAAAAAGAGAATGTTAAGCAAGCTATCGGACGAACGCGCAAGTACGAATCTGGATAACGACGCCATTTCTTTTTCTCTGTATGTTCTGCGTTCATTATAATGCTCGAGAATCAGTAAGAAAAAGAAAAAGAGAAGAATATAAACATTTTCAATCAACAAAATGTATAGATATATATATAAATGATAATGAGAATTTTTTTTCGTCTGTAAAATACTTTGTTAAATCTTATATTATGATACTAAATTTTATGAAACTGAACAATCTTTCAAATTGAAATATAAATTTAGTATATACGAGATACTAAGAGGTTTTTCTTGTGGAGAAAAGATGCATGTATGTGTGTGAAGTCTGTCGAGATAGGAAGAATTTACTTACTGGTCGCTGGAGACAGGGAGGAAAAAAACGGAGAACATCGAGTCTTTTTTTTTTGTGCTTCATCATCACAACGAGAAAAAAAAAGAAAAAGACATATAAGCGTGTATGGAACGAGAGAATTTTTGCCGTTGCTGCAGCCGAACGTACAAGAGCACACGCAAACGAAGGGAAACAGATGTGGTGTGATGAAGGCGATGGTGCTGCAAAGATAATAGGCTGCATTGCCTCTCGGGTCGTTCGTTTGTTCGTGCATGTGGGTTGGAAGGACAAACTATTGTATACTATCGCTATGTGGATGTCGAAGGAGATGGATGTACTTATATAGTCAAGACTCACAAGTCTAGCTATCATAGTCGTATGTATACAAATAAGATTGACATGTTGGAGAAAAAAATCAAGCGTACTCAAGGCGTAATATATCATTTAGAGCAAAAAAGAAGATAGGCCTGCGAGGTCGAATAGTATGTCTTTATGCAGGTTTTCTAAAATTATATTGTCAGAAGAATAACATGATCGTAAAACATCTAGAGATCTTAACTGGAGAAGTGAAACATAAAAATAAAAATTAATGTTTTCACAAATAGGAAATAATGAGAATTGAAATTGTAGGTGTGAAATTTATTAATAGATATCGTTTAATTTACGATGAATAATACAAATGGAAAATCTTCCTCGAGTTGTATTATTAGTTTTGTTCTTATTAGTATTTGCTAAATTATTGTAAATTTTACAATAAGAATCTTTGTTTAAATTTATTCATTCAAAAAGAAGACACAGTTGTCAAATGCATTATCTCAAGAGAATAACATTTGTCATAACTTGATTTATATGCATATTCGTACTATTCTTCTTTCATGTGATCCAGAACAATTATATTCATAAGAAAGAAAAACAAGTGATCTTTTTTACATACCATTATTGATGCTTTGTAACTAATTATTATCTAAAAGAATTTACACAGTCAAAATTGATTTACCTCAATCAGTTATTACAGTATTTCATACAAAATGACTTTCAACATCATCTGAATTTAAATTCTTACGTACTGCTAAACATAGTAGATAAAAAAATTCTATTGATGACGTCAATCTTGTAATATTAACTTTACATATAAAAACTGACAGTAAATGTCCTTTAATCTTCTTTTCTTTGTCCATTATTTAGACTATTGCTACCTTAGAAACAAAGAAGAATTTGTTCGTATTCAATGTACTTAAATGTCAGACAGAATAGAAAAAATGTTAATACTTGTAAAGACTTGTTTGATAAATTCTTTTTTGTGTATACTATGTACAAAAAAACTACATAAAAGTTGTATTTGTTTTCTGCATGAAAGTTTTATGATGATTGAAGATGTCTTTTTTTTCTTGACAGAGCAACTGGCATTGACACATAACTTACAAGAATTTTAGACAAATATCAAGTTTAATCGAGTAGGACTTAACCATGCAATCTTAATAAGAACCGATGACAGTAGATTCAGTTTGCCTCGATATATATATATAATTAACAGCAATTTGTGTTAGTTACATCAAAGATTATATAAATAACTGCGTCAATAAAATGGATAAAACATAAAGTTAATAACGAATACGTCATATATATGATAGCTTCGTTTTTGTAATATTTTCGAATATTAAATAATCAATATATATTATTATTTTACACATATCATTGTTATTGCTAAGCTCATTTTTGTTCGGTTAGAGATGAGAATGGTGATGTAGAATTATCTTGTTTGCTTGCATACAAAGTGTCTTATCTAAACGTCAGTTATAATAGGTGCCTCCTTCTACCTTCAATGAC